AGTGACATCGCCCTCAACGCCAAACTGTAAATTATCTTTTTGCTATCATCAACATTCTAGAAGTTAAAACTATCAACTTCCCTGCGGTATAAACTTTTCACAATTATATTACATCACATTACGGCTTGCTTCCGTTTGTGTGACGTTTTTTTCTCTAAATTTAGTGCATAATAGCGTAATGTCATTCGTGGTGGGTTGGTGCTTTACTAGTAAACCTACTGCATCGGATGGTGAATACTAACACATTATTAAGCACGATAAATGGTTAATTTTACCAAGCGGATATCGAGTAATTCATGAGTTCATTTTCAAATTAATATATTGCATATGATTAAATTTTTCGGTGCATTATGCGATATTGCGTTGAAATACTGCCTCGTACGTCCAATAGTAGTGTATAATTAGTAAAGTCACGAACCAACCAATAATATATACATTCAACTAAACTGTAATTGTTCAGCAAAAACATGCTACGATATTGCAACTCGTGTTCAAATTTCAACACTGCGATAAAAACTTTCCGTTTTCGACAATGTGAAGTTCTTTCGTTTCTTTGGGGCTGAAAACAACTAATTTTGACAAGAAAATTCAGAAAGAATAATTAATTAATTAACTAATTAATTAATAAAGAAATGTATTCCATATTTACAACAATAATTTGTTTTTACATGTGTAATTATGACTATTTAGCAAATCACTTATAAACAATAACTTTAACAAATATGATTGTGCTTGGTAAAAAATATTGTATTTTTCTCCATAAAATCGAAAGAATCCCTCAATGTCGAAAACGGGAAATCTTTAGAGCCTTCGTGTGTTTTATTTCATAATACTTAGATTCCAAAAGACCTTGTGGTCGCAATACCACTTTGGGCACACAGTTTCTAATTTTATCACCAAATTTCGCACAGTTATTATGTGAATTGCAGGCCAATATTTGGGAAGGAAATGAAGTAACAAGTCAAAACCTAAAACTAGCGAAATGGGTTACAGGGTCCTTATGAAACTAACTCTTCCGTATTTTACAGGAATTGTATACTTCGTATGGTGGCAATATCGGATACCTCGAACATGACGCGGCGCGAGGATCGCCCTTTAATTACGCAATTTGTAACTAGTTGTGATCATCTTCATTTAATTGTCACATGCAACTTGACACATGTATGAAGCGATGGGCGATATATGTCATATCGGAATAAACGTGATAAGAATTTTTCAACCGATGCCATGTGAGGGCGCCCTGGACAAGACCAAAATTGCCATATTGGCGGACGACACTGTAACCAAATTATCGACTCCGCGGAACTGGCTAAAGAACACCGATCCTTGGTTGTGAAATGATAAAAGCAATAAATCTGCACTCCTATCACATTCTTACTTAGTCAGACTACATGACACATGTTTATTAGCACTGAATGCGATTAGTTGTGTGTGAAGTTTTTTTTTTTTTTTTAATTAAATCGATACTAGAAATTCGGCGTTTAAAAGGTTGTTGACATTGTCGTAAAATAAAGTATAGAAACAAATCGTTGTCAATTTCGTAGTACACAAGGCAGTTCACATAGCACTGCTCGTGTCCTCTCTGGAAGACATTTCATTTTCAGTTCGGATTCAAACTCTGGGCTCAAGTTTTTTATTCACGTAAAAACAGTTACTTTTTCAAATATTTTGATTTTATCAACGGTTTAAGAAAACCAGGCACACTGGTAACGCATTTAAAGTTGAAATAGACGTTTCTTCTCAGAAGACTCGCCTTCAAAAGAATCAACCCTCATTTCCATTTCAACAACAGCGTCATCAGCGATAAAACTACTTACAAGTTGTTTTAATGTGATTCGAATATGAGGTATCATGTGCCCATATTTATATAATAGCCATGATTGTGATCGAATTGAGATGCCTTCACCTCATCATAAGAACCAATATGCTAATCAGGTGTTTATATTTACATAATGGCCATACCAGGAAAGCTAATACAGTGGTCAAATGCATGCGCAGTTACCACCCTGCATCACAAACAATGATATTTTTATATTTACATAATAGCCACACCAGGAAAATAATGAGAATGTTCCAATGGAGTTACCACCACTACATCACAGGAACCGATATGCTAATTAGGTGTTCATAGTTATTCAATAGCCACACCAGGAAAATAATGAGAATGTTCCAATGGAGTTACCACCACTACATCACAAGAACCGATATGCTAATTAGGTGTTCATAGTTATTCAATAGCCACACCAGGAAAACAATGAGAATGTTCCAATGAAGTTACCACCACTACATCACTAGAACCGATATGCTGATTAGGTATTTAAATTTACATACTAGCAACACCAGAAAAACAATGAAAATGTTCTAATGGAGTTACCACCACTACATCACAGGAACCGATATGCTGATTAGGTATTTAAATTTACATAATAGCAACACCAGAAAAACAATGAATATGTTCTAATGGAGTTACCACCACTACATCACAGGAACCGATATGCTGATTAGGTATTTAAATTTACGTAATAGCAACACCAGAAAAACAATGAAAATGTTCTAATGGAGTTACCACCACTACATCACAGAAAGCGATATGCTGATTAGGTGTTTATATTTACATAATAGCCGCACCAGGAAAACAATGAGAATGTTCCAATGGAGTTACCACCACTACATCACAGGAACCGATATGCTGATTAGGTATTTAAATTTACATAATAGCAACACCAGAAAAACAATGAAAATGTTCTAATGGAGTTACCACCACTACATCACAGAAAGCGATATGCTGATTAGGTGTTTATATTTACATAATATCCACACCAGGAAAACAATGAGAATGTTCCAATGGAGTTACTATCACTACATCACAGGAACCGATATGCTAATTAGGTGTTCATAGTTATTCAATAGCCACACCAGGAGAACAGTGAGAATGTTCTAATCTCATAGTTGCTGTCGACATAGGAAGTAAAGTAAGCAAATAACATCGAATAAAGGGGAAGACGTGTAGTGGCGTGAAGCTAGGCGATTAGGTGCCGTACGCGAGCGCCGGTTCGAGTCACGCACGCAGTACGTATTTACTATAATTAGACATAGTCTTTACCTTGCTGTTTTTTT